GCATTCAGTGTGTTTTATTTGCTTGCTCATAATGAAGTGAAAAACTTATGCTGAGATCTGCCCCACCTATGTTATGATATCCCCCACCCTATTCTATGGTCTGCCCACCATTGCATATACAGGGTAAGCCGTGTGTAGTTATGTTTATGTCATTTATTTTACTAACACTGTTGCCCTTTCATCTTCTTCATTAACTCTGCTATTTGGTGTTTTTCTGCATTGACAACAATCCACATCAGATTCTTTCCCATCAGTATTTTTTCTGATTACTAGTTTCTAAATTATCCCAAGGTTAATAGGTTAATCAAATTTTTTGTTCCATCAGTTTTTTCGGTTTCTGTTTTGAAACATGGAAATGCTTTGTATGGTATCTTAAAAGTTTTATGCTGATGCTCTTTATTCTATCTCTCTCTGCAGGCTGGTTTACACCTCCAAAGGAAGACGGATAAGAGCCTGTGGATGGACTTTACAAGTCTTGCTTTTAGTGTTAGGTTCTCTTGTTTTTAGACTGGTTTATAGTTTTTTTTTAGTCTCTAGATAATTCCTGTATAGAATCTTAATTTATGTGGCATTTATGAACAATGTTGTGATTCTATTGGAAGGCAGAAAAGAGAAAGTTCCTACCATTTTTGTCTTTCATCTGCTAATACCGTGTCCAATCAGCTGGCTTGTATTATCCACCGATGTCATCTCCTGGAACTGAAGCTCGTTGACACTGTTTATTGCGAGAGGCACTGGAGAAAATGCACTATATATTGACATTGTTTGCATCTTCAAGCATTCGCGTCACCGCCGTACATATTACATGGGATTCTGATATGGTCTGAGCCGCGTCTGGGAGTACTGACTGCTTTTCTCAAATTAATAGTACAAGCTATGTGGCCTTTGTAGCCATTGTTTGAAAAAAAAAATCTGTCCCTTTTATGGTAATGTATGGCCTGAATTGGTTTTAACTTTTCTAACTGCCGTACATTAAACTTTGGCTGTTCTGGGGCAAGTATATACAGAGAAATGCGATTTGATGTTTGTGGTTTGAATCGCAAAAGAATTTATGTTCAATGTAACAGAAAACTCGCAAGTAAATGTTTACTCGCGTCTTTTAAGTTTACTTCACTTCAAGTTTGATTAGGCATCATAATGTATTATTTATTTCAGTTATGACTACTCAGATTTTTTTTTTTTTTTTTGACCAGTTATGTGCCAAGTCTATCAAAACTCTTACAGCAAAAAGTAACTATGGAGGAAAAACTTGGTGATGGCTGTGATTATTGTTTGGTAAATCATAGTTTTAATCCTCACCTTCATCAAACTTAATATTGCTAGCCAGCTTGCTTTTAGGTCGTTTCACACTGGACAGTGCCCTTCTGATCCACAAATTTAAAGTTAATGGGGAAAGTTACATATAAATATAGACTGCCCTTTTTACATGCATTACAGGAATGGTTCTTTGAAAAAAAAATGGCAGTATTAAATGTATGAAACGTATAGTTTTGCAGCATTGTTGAAAGTGGGGGGGGGGGGTCACAAACAGAACTGAGTAGATGTGGGGTTCCGTGGGTGAATTTGTTTCTTAAATTAGTATTAATTTGTTCCTGTGTTTGTGGGAAATTATTATAAATGTGTATTAAAACTTACTGTTACTGTGGGCCTTTCCTAGTGACGAAAATACCTGATTGTACGTGTCACTGCTTCCTTCATTAATGATTTTTTTAATATTCCGAAAGAAACACTTTAAGTAAATCCTCAATGACATGTGCCCAACATGTTCTATAAACTCATACGAGTACCACTTGTTCATGTGTTTGGCAGATGCAGCTGAAGACTTGCAGTACATGTATTTTATTTGGTAGCCTTGTATGTTGCATTACGAGAAGAATAGCTTCCTTGGGGGGGGGTGGGGGTGCCAATTCCATCTGACTGTACAGTGAGACGTACAGTATGAATAAAAAAGATTGTAATGATCCTTGTAGTACTGGGGGTTCAATCTTGCAATTTTCTGAAATTATCTTAATCGGGTTTAAAATGTTGCTTGTGCCCACAGTGAAGGCATGCCAACTTTGCCAACTAGAGTTTCATTTTAAACTTTGGTATAGTTGTAAAGCAGATAATGTCATGGGTTGGTTCCAAGATGTATGTAACACATCAAACAAAATTTTTATTTCTAAGCAAATTACTTTCAGTGTCAATATCTTACAAAGTGATTTGAGTTGATATCTGACTTGATGCTTTTCTTTCATATGAACTGTTTTTGTCTTTTTCTACTAATAATTTTCTCCTAAGATGTCTGTCACAGCTCATGAGAAATATTCTCAATCTTATGTGGGAATGCCTGCTGTCGAAATATTGTACAATATGCTGTAGTATCAGCAAATACTAGTTAACCAGACTATGCTTGTAGCACTATTATTATCTCCAACTTGGCATATCTCATTCAAGTTTGAGGTGCAGGACTTTGGCCACAGCTGGTCTTTATTAACAAACCGTGCTTCAATCAATTTGTCGTGAGTGACTGGATACAAAGTCAGTTTGTGAATCATGATACCCAGCATGCATTGCTTTGTATGTGCTGCTTCAGATGATAATGGAAGAAATGCAGAAGAGTCGCCAATCTCTGATTGTTTCATGAACTGAACAAGAATAATTGCACATTCAAAGAACAACCCAACTTGTCGGTTGTAATGACACTGTGTTGTTACTTGTACAACTGTGATAAATGGAGCTGTCAACATGTGTAGTGAGGAATAAACTTTATCATGCATGACCGTTATTAAAAAATACTTCCCAGGGACTTTCAAAAAATAGTCATTGAATTTCATTCAAATCTCATGATACAAGTACAACAAGCTTTTTTCAATTCTGTGTAGAGATAGTTTAGATAGATTCATTGTGTGCCAGTTTATCCCCCATCTCCATCCCCATCTGATACAATTCATGAACTTTTTAAGCATTTGACATATGTAACTTATTTGTAATGATCTCTTATCTGGGCCTATACGATGTATCGATTACCATACTGTTTATAGGGTGAAAATGTTAACAAGTGGATTACAATGACCACAACAATCTTAAACCATTGAACACATAGTCAATTTGATTAAAATCTGATGTTGGTATAGGTTCCATTTTTTTTTTTCATATATGACTTTTTTTTTTATTTTTTTTTCTATCATATCCCAGTAGTTACGGCAATCAAGTTAAGATATATAAAAACTTAATAAAGGCATGTAAAACCAAAAATATATTCATAAACAAACAAAAATAACAATAAAAAAAATTGTAACCTATACCTACATGACACTGAAGTCAACTTGTGGTACCTATACATAAACCACCTCAATTGGTTTTCACATTTTTTCTGAAATTTTGATAAAGACCTAAATTAATAATGTCCATCTTAATCCAAAATTCACAATGAAATTATTTAAAACTACATAGAAATGTTTGATGGGAAATTGAGGTGCTCTGAGTTGATGTGTTGTACATTGCATCAGCAGTTTTGTAAATTTCCCTTTTCATGCTTTGAGCAGAGTGGGCGGGTGTAAGGTGATGGTGGTCAGGATTTCATATCTGTACTATCTAGTTGTACGTAATGAGCCCTGATATTGCCTGTGAACACCATTAACCCTCAATGTTGCATTGTAATTTGGTGCACTTGAACCACTGTATTTGCTGTATTAGAAGCACACACACCTTGCATAGATGCCCCGTTAGTAACTGCTATAAATACATTGTTGTATTTGAAATCCCACCAAAACAAACTTATTTAGGTCACATGTGCATCTATTGGAGATACAAATGAGGTGGTATGTTGCCAAGAAAAAGAGAGTTCAAAACTGCATATCAACTGAAATGCTAGAATCACAAAACACAGTCAGTCAAATTATTTTTAGCTCTTTCAGTCAAGTTTTTTCCCCCCAAAGTCCATTTTGCTGAGTAAGTCTGTCTGAATTCATTTTTGCTTGAGTTTTCATACAATTGATTATTTATGGAATATATGTACCATGTAGGAAATTTTAAAACCAGTATTTCTTGTGTCAGATTCACTTGTGATAAGTGGACACTGTTTTATTTTAGGTTTACTCTCAGACTAGTATTACTAGTCTGAGGTTTACTCAAATTGCATTGCATTGCAGCTTGTATGCAACTATATGTTGAAGGAGAATATTCGATATTAAAATTCTTAAAAACAAAAAAAAATCTTCCTTGGTTTACCACTCGACTCTGTTTGTGTAAATTTCCAAATGTACAAATTCTTTTTTTCCTGTGGTGTACGCAAGGTTTGAATGTGCAAGCAGTTCAGTGTGCAACTGACATCAATAATTAAAACCAGACTAGAAATTTACATAACTCTTTCCATGATGGACAAGTTGGAAAACTTCTCATTTTAGAATAGACCTTTTTGTAGACATAAAAGCTATAAAATTAAAAAAAAAAGGAAAACAAATCGAAAAGCCAAAAAATAAAGGACCAACAAATTTAAAAAGCCCAAACAGTGAAACCATTTATGCATGTACAGTCTACTGAAATTGAAATGGAAAGTTGTATAAGTAGTTTATTTTTTTGTTTTCATTTTTCTGTAATTATGTTACTCGCCAGATGATAAATTACAGATTTTGTTTCTTTTTCAAATGTCATGTCCATTTCAACTAGGATTTTTAGAAGCAATATAGCCAAAGGTATACATGTAAAATACTTCAAAGGGGGGGGGGGGGTATTCATGTCCTGTTTTCAAACTTTCACATATCCGTTTCATTACATGTTTTGTCACTTGTCTATGTTTTTACACGCATGGGTAGGTGGGAATATTTGTTGGTTTCTTCCAACGTACATGTTTGCTCTATAAACTAGCCTTCAAGTTTCTTTTGTTTCTGTTATTTTATGTTTCTTCAAGGCTATTAAAATTCACCATGGTTATGTGTGGTTGTATTAATTCATTTCTATTTCTTGAAGCAATGCACTTTTAATGTAAGTATGGAGAGAGAAAACAAAATATACACTTCACTGTTCACTTCAAAAATGGGCGTGTAGTGCCGAATGTGTCTGAAGTCTGTTTAGTTGGTGTTATACCAGTATTGGTGAAAAAGTTTGGGCAAACCATTATGATACACCGTACATAACCTATAAAACCAATAATTAGTATTCAAATTAGCTAATTAATATGTATATACTGAACGAAACTCAACATCTCTACAAATATGCAAATATATACAAAACGTGCATCTCCAGTCTATACACATTAGCTATAGCCAAGATTGATTAAAATAAATTATTCAATGGTGCATCTTCACAAGCAGTTGCATCTACTGATATTGAAACTGTTGAGATATAAACAGAAACTTTTTTATTAGTATTTGGTACTAGTGTTTGAGACTACTAAGTTTGTTCATAGACCGTCTTTTAAGGTCTATGGTTTGTTCATTCCAGTAAATCATCAGTATTAGTAGGCAAC